ATATTGCCGATCATATACTTAATAAAGCGCTTTGTGTTAATGAAGCTGCTGAGATGGGCTCAAGGTAATCCATATAAATTATAATAATAAATAAATAATTATAATGTTATAATGAAAAGAGAATTTATGTAAATTGCGCCAAATCTTCGAACATTATAGTTCGTCTGTTCGTCTGCGTTAGTACCAAAATGATCAAAAGAATCCATAAGGTTGAAGAAGAGAAGTCTTGAGAAAATTATAAGAAAATCTTTAGCACCAATAAAGAATCTAACTTTGATTAATTATTTATTATTCTTAGAGAGATAATAATCGCAATATTTGAATAATTTTAGAAGAAAATTCTAATGGAATCAAAGAATATTCAAAAAGAAAATAATGAAAATAAAAATATTGTATTTAAAATGTTTTTTAAAATCTAAAAACTGGAAATCTTCAGGAAATTTGCTTTTTTCATATTTTTTTCCCTTTTTTAAAACCATTTTTCATATATTTAAATATGTTCGCTGTTCTTTTTTTTGCGCCAAAATTTTCTCACTTTGTTGTTTTATTTTAGATGAGTTCATCAAATTACAAGAATACTAATATATAAATATACAGGAGTTAAAAAGTTGATTTTCATTAACGAAATGAAAATGAAAAAGAGAAGAGAAAATTTTGATTATAAGCCTTATAAGTGTCCAAAATTCAGTGGTAGGGTATTAAAAATTATCTGCAATAACTATCTGCATAAGAATCTGCGGATTAGCATGGAAAATAAAAGTTACTATCGAAGAAGGAAAAAGATAAAAGGCACAATCTATGAAAAGATCATTAATTTCAGTTGGAGGTCGAGAAGGACCGTGCAGAAATTTTTCAAGGTCACTCTGTACCAGCATCCCAGATTTTGCTCTACGATTTTGCCCGCAGACTTGTGGTCTTTGTCATTTACCCGGTGCTGCAAACATGTGTCCGGATATTATCGATGGTTGCGATGTTTTGGTGCCACTGGGTGTTTGTACCAATGACAGATTAAAGAGCATGTGCCAGAGATCATGCCATTCACGCGACTGTTTAACAAGTAATCCGCAAAACTTTTTATAATTTATTCCAGAAGCCTATATTTTATCATGGATTTTAGCGACAACTTTATCATCTCCAACACAAAATTGTAAAGACGAACGACAAGGCTGTGAAGCAATAAGAGCATCAAATAGTTGTGGCGGTGTATTTCGAACAACAATGATGCAACAATGCGCAAGAACTTGTGGTTATTGCACGTAGGCAGTAATTGAATTCAACTTCTTTCTAAATTATTTATCATATTTCTCTGATAAAGAAATTTGATAAACAGTCAATAAGCTTTTAGTAAACTTCAACATAATTTGAGCATATAAATCTTTCGAACATTCACTATTTGAGCTCAAATTGTCTCTTCTAAAGAAAAACCATTTGATTCACCATTACCTCTTTTTATTCTTACCTTTATTCGTACTGCTATATAGTTTATTAGCTTATCAATATTTATACAATATTTAGTTTATCAATCCAAACAGTATAGTGTTTTTCGATTATATAAAGGAGACGAGAAAAAGAAGTTGCGGCGTTGCAAAGTTTACATTTCAAAGCCTTTAGGTGTTCTTTGTTGCTTGGTTATTAGAATGAGTAAAATAAAAATAATAATCAAATTCTATAATAATAAAGTATTCGACCAATAAATCCGTGAATGGTAACTGACGAATTTATTCGAAATGAAATTTAATTTAATAAGATAAAATTTCCTTGTACATATTTTAATTTATAATATTCACGTGATAGCGGAATCGCTTTCGAGTATTTCCTGTAAAACGTGAATTTTTCACGCAATTGTTGGCTTATTATTGATATACTATTGATATTATCTTTCACAAGAATCTTATTTTGCAGTTTTATGTTAACAAAA